TGCAACTGTAAACGTTCCATGTTGGGTAAGAGGTATGACAGTTGGTAGACATACTCTACGTTGTTTGGTCTATTATGAATCGGAGGCTGGTAACACCGATTTGAAATATCGTTTAGCAAGATGTCAAACTCAATTCGATGTACGTCCATCCATTAGAATCTCTTCATTGTCACAACAAAGCTCCACTAATTTGAACGCCTATTTATTGGGTGTTGAGGTTGATAATCCGATTATTGGTGGTGCTGGTGATAGTTTCCATATCAAACAAATTTCATCAATTAGTAAACATTGGAAAATTCAACCTCTTAGCTATTCAACAGACGTACCAACTCCATCAATCGTTTCTTTGAATCCTGGTAAATTTACAAATCTATTCTTTAGAATTGTACCATCAAATGGTGAAGGTATCGTACAAAGTAAAGATGATGAAATTTCAATAACCAATATTAGTTTCTATAAAAATGAACCAATGTATGATTCTTCATCATTTCCAACCTATCACTTTTTAGAATATGAAAAGTTAACAATTGATCAATTACAACAACAACAGCAACAACAGTTAAATAGTAGCAGTGGTGGTGGTGGTAGTAGTGGTATGATACAGTCAACAAGTAATAGTCAATTAAATTTAATGGCAAATACTAGAGACGGTGGTGATAATTCATTAAATGATAACCATCCAAATCATATTGATTTATTAATTTACTGGGAATGTGACAATAATAATAGAATGGGTGTTTTAAATTCTTCAAATATTTCATTCTTACCAACTCATTATAATGACCCATCATTGGCAATTCCTTGGGGTTCATGGAAAAATACAACTTCACCATCTGGAAAGAGTATTCTATACCCATCACTTAAATTGCCATTGAGATATCAAATTAAATCAGAACTTTTAATTAAACATGACTTTGAAAAGGAAAGACTTTGCACTGTGCCATTAAAATTACAACTTTCAAATTGTTCATTCATTCATCCACTTACTCTTTCCGTCGATACTTTGCTACCACATGAAAATATTGACCAAACTACCTTTTCAACCTGTCAATACTTTTGGACTGGTATCACTAAATATAATATCGAATTGAAGCCTCAAGAAATTATGGATTTAGATTTACATGTTTGCTTTGCTCAGTCTGGTGTATTCAATATAAATCGATTTAAAATTAATGTAAAATTAGCAAATGAAATTCATAAAGAAATATTTTCAACAATTCAACATTTAATAAATATTGAATCAAATAATTAAAAAAAATAAAAAATATTAAAAAAATAAAAAATATATATAAGTTCAAAAAAAAAAAAGAAACTTATTATTTATAAATGTGATAGAATTTTTTGGGAGTTTTAATTATATTAATAAGATGGAGTAAATATTTTTTTTTTGTATTTTGTTAAAAATAATTTACCTTGTTTCTTTATTATTTAAATATGAAAAAATAACTCAATTATTATTAGATTTGTAAATTATTATTTTTTTTTATTTTCCAAGAGGGGGTTATATTAATTTTTTTTTTTTAACTTTTCAAACAATTGTTTTTTGTTTTTAATAATTGTTTTTTTTAAATATTTGAATGTTGTAAAAAAAACTAAACATAATTTTTTTTTGTTATAAATTTCTTTTTTATAAATAATTTTCTAATTATTAGTTTTAATTTTTAATGTCAAACTCTGATATAACAGTTATTTTGGTTCATGGAGCATGGAGTGATGGTCAAATGTTCAATAAAATTTTGCCATTGTTGATTAAAAAAGGAGTTATGGTTAAAGTTGTTCAAAATCCATTAACCGGAATAGAAGATGATATTAAAAAAACTTTAGAGTTAATCGATCTCCAAGAAGGTAAAGTTTTATTGGTTGGTCATTCCTATGGAGGAGTTGTAATATCAGCTGCAGGAAATCATGAAAAAGTTTGTGGATTGGTTTACCTTTGTGCATTTATTCCTGACCAGGGTGAAAATGTTCAATCTATTTTGTGTAAATTCGAAAAATTGGATAGCTCCTTAAACTATTTTCATGATAAAAATGGAAACGTTTGGTTTGGTTATGAAAAATTTCATGAATCAATGTACCAGGATTTTAATGATTATGAAAACCATTTGACCATTTGTTTTTCTCAAAAACCAGTATCAACAAAAATTTTCATTGAAAAACTGCAATGTATTCCTGCGTGGAAAAAAAAACCTTCTTGGTGCCAAATTTCGGAAAATGATCGAATGATTCATCCACAACTGTTAGAATATTTAGCCGAAAGAATTAAACCAATAAAAAAAATTTCATTAAAAAGTGGTCATTGTCCTCAACTTACAAATCAAAATGCAATTTTAGAATTTATATTAGAAGTTTTATCATTTTTTAAATAAAAAATAAAAAAATAAAATCTTTTTTCAAATTGAAAAAATAGCAAATTCTGTTATTGATTTTATCTAATTATTACTTCAATGCATTTAATTTATTTTTATTCTATTATTGGAAACAATGGTCACCTTGTTTAGAAGCATTAAATGGCTGTTGATTATGTGACCACGTTACTTTTTTTTTTTTTTTTTTTTTTTTTTTTTTTAATATTATTGGGATTCGAATTTCTAATCACCATGTTTTTTTTTTTTTTTGTTGTTGTTTTTTGGAAGTGGAGCTTTTTTTCCGGTTGATTATGAGGTGTGTTTTTAATGACCACGTTACTTCGTGTTATGACCTAAGGCTCGAACCAAGTCCACGGAGACTTGTGATTTAGGGCAGAACCACTACGTAGATCCTCCTATAATGATGGTTTAATTATGACCAGGTTACTTCGTGGTATGACCAAGACTCGAACCCATGGTCTTGGCCATGGAGGCTTGTTTTTTTTTTTTTTTTTTATATTAATGATTATTGTAAGACCTTAGTCTCAACAATAATAAAGTTTATTTATTTATTTGGTTTTTATTTTTTTTATATGATTTTTAAGTGATTGTTATTTTCTCTATGAAATTTTATTTTATATGAAAAAGTCTACCATCACATTATTAGGAAGTGATTTTCTAAGGATACAGTATTTGATTGCTATTCTTTTTTTGATTTTTTTCATTTTACTGTAATATGAGTTTTTATCGCAAAAGATTTCTGGATCTTTGGCTGCTGATAGCTTGTAGTCTTTTAATAGTTTAATATATTCTAGTGATGCTAGTTTGTGCCATTTGTTTGATAACAATTCAAAATCCAAATTGGTATCTTGAAGCGCTTTGTCACCATAAATTTGATTACAAATCCATATCCATATGTGATGCATGACTAATGCTATTACATTGTTGTATGCAAAGGGTCTGTATAAATCATAATTAACGGCTTTGTAGCACCAGGTGAAGTATTGTTTGTGGAATCTGTCTATTCCGTAGTCAGGGTTCACTTCGCTATCGGTCGGAACATTGTTTGGGAGTTTTGGAAATATTCTGATAAGAGTTTTTCCATTTTCATTAACTCTGTTTACCGTCCAATTTAAGAGTCTACCTGTTGTTACAAAGATGAAGTTTTTTAGTTTATTGACATTAATGAAGTTTTTTGTTTTTGGGCAATCAAAGAATAAATGTCCGTATGGATCAATAGACATATTGGTATTGCACATTGGGCATGGTTTTTCGTGAAGGTAATTAAGTGGGAGGCATCTCGAATGAAATCTAAACATTGTATTTTTAGTTTTGGGATCCTTGATGTTTAGTATGTTTGTGAAAAGAAGATTGTAGTTATATCCTCTCATATAAAGGTTGTCTTGAAGAAAGGTTTTTGGAATCTTTTCTTCTTTGGTGTCGATCTCTTTGTACCATTCGGATAGTGATAAAGGTTGACCTATTTGATTTTTGATTGAAACAGCGAATCGGAAAATTCCTCTTTTAGATCTGCTCCTGTTCCAATCTTCTAGGTTGTTTTTTAGAAATTGTGATGTAATTTTATTTGTCGTTAATTGAAAGTTCCAACTTTTATGAGTTGCTGAGGATATTGAATTGCTTTCTTGTGCATGAATAAATTGATTGATTATCCATAGTCTTTGGGCTTTTTGTCTTTGTTCGATGTCCCATATGTTCCATCCGCCTTGTTCCATTGGATATTTTGATCTTTTTGCGCTCATGAGGTTTATAACATTGAAGCCAGTAGAGTTTTTATAGTTTGAGGCCGATAGAAACCACTCTACTATTTTGTTTATTTGTTTTATTTCATCTTCATTATATTTTTCTATGTATGAAAAGTAGGTTAATTTGGATAATGCGAAGGCCTTGAGAATGCTTGTTTTCGTTTTTACTGTGGTCCCGGTCGTTTTCCAGAGTAGGAGGGAAGCGCGAATTGATCTGAGAATTTCTGGCATTTTCCTATGGATACCATTCTTTGTGAAAAAATATCCAAGGTATCTTTCTGGATTGGTAGATTCTGGAATCTCTATTCCATTGTAGTTAGTATTTCCCAGAACTATCGAGGCCGACTTATCCAGATTTAGTTTGGAAGAGGTTGCTTTACAGAAGGTGTTGAAGTGTTTAAGAACTATTTTTAGTTGGTTTTTGTCATTTACCAACGATGTCGAGTCGTCCGCGAAACCTTGGAATTTTTCTCTTTGGATGCCGTCGTTTAGTGGTAGTCCGGTAATGTTTTTGTCTTCCAATATTGCCCTTGCAAGGGATTCGATGACTAGGACGAAAAGGGTAGGGGATAAGGGATCGCCTTGTTTTACCCCCCTTTTAATAGTGAAAGGACGTGTTTTATTATTGTTCACTTCTACTCTTGCTTCTGAATCCGTTAGGAGGCTCATAATGAGGTTGACAATCTTGTACGGAATATTTATATGAAATAATGTTCTGAGTATTGAGTCGTGTGAGATGGAATCAAAAGCCTTTTCGAAATCGTAGAATGTTATTATTCCGCCTATTTTCTTTTGATTGGAGGCTTGTGATTCAGCGTGGAACCACTACTTTCTCCCCTTTGTTTCTAAAGAGAGTCGAACCCGTGTCTATAAGACCTTGGGCAATAAAATTTAGCTTCTCTAGGTTTCGATCCTAGGACCTCGAGGTTATGGGCCTCGCACTCTACCCCTGAGTTAAGAAGCTAATGTAATGAAATTTGAAATTAATCAACAATTTAATAATTTAAATAAAAATAAAAATAATATATAAAAAATCAATCAAAAATCAAATTACAAATTACAAATTAGCCAAATTACAAATTAAATTAAATTATTATAATATCAACCCATTAAATCAACAACTTAGAAATTTAGGAATTATAATATTTATATTTTGAAATTTAATAATTTATAATTTAATTATTATAAATTATTAAATTGATTATTATAATTCCTAAATTTCTAAGTTGTTGATTTAATGGGTTGATATTATAATAATTTAATTTAATTTGTAATTTGGCTAATTTGTAATTTGGCTAATTTGTAATTTGTAATTTGATTTTTGATTGATTTTTTATTTATTATTTTTATATTTGTTTTAATTATTTATTTGTTGATTCATTACATTAGAGAATTAAACTGCTAGAGTTTAGATTTAGTAACCTCAAATAAATAAATATCGAATATTCCCTTTTGTTGTAATGGTTCTACGATGTTAAAAGATAATCTTGTTCGAATTATCACATTAGCGTAATTCATATATATAAATATTACTTCTTCAAAATTTAAAAAAAAAATTTTACTTCTATTTACTCCTCTAATTTTTGTGATTTCTGCATGCTCATTTTCTTTTTATTCTGGATTTTCTATTTCTTTTGTAAAACTTAAAATTCTTGAAGTTTTTTTTTTTTTTTTTTTAAAAAAAGAATTATTAAAAATTATCGAAAAAAAGAAAAAAAAAAAAATAAAGATTTACAGTAGATAGATACTGTTTATCTTTAATTTTTCTATTATAAAGTAATAATGAATTTAAGTGATTAAAATAAAATAATCAAATGGAAGTTAATGTTGATTCTTTATATTGAATTAAATTTAATCTGTGGATATTGCCAAAAATATAAAAAATTTATTGGTTATATAAAAAGTAAACGATTTTCAAAAAAAAAATAAAAATTTAAAAAAAATAAAATAAAAAAAACTGAAAAAAAAAAAATTAAAAAAAATTAAATAAAAAAAAATAAAAAAAGTGAGAAAAATAATTTATTTCGGTCATTTTTGAAATTGAAATGGAATCAGTAGAAACCACCAACACCGCCACTACAACTCCCTCTAATTCAGAGATAATATCTGAAAATGTTGTGGAGGAAAAAAACACTAATGAAACCAGTACAACAACATTTAACCAAGATGTTGTTTCTGAAACACCAAAAACTGAAGGAACCAACGAAAACAAAGAAAGAAGTAGAGGATTAGAAGCCAAAATTAAACCAGAATTTATTCTTCCATATAAAAAAGTTGAAAAAGTTGAAGTTGATAAAGCTGCAAAAAAAAAAGAATTTAGAAATCAAATGAAAGAATCAATGAATGATAAAGTAAGATTATTATTATTATTATTATTATTATTATTATTATTATTATTATTATTATTATTATTATTATTATTATTATTATTATTATTATTATTATTATTATTATTATTATTATTATTATTATTATTATTATTATTATTATTTGCAATTTATAATTAATTCTTTTTTTTAATAGCTTTGTCCAAAAATTAGTAAAGGATTAGAATGTGAATTTAAAGAAGGTTGTAAATTCAGTCATGACGTTGAAAAGTATTTGGCAAGTAAACCAAAATCAATTGGTGTTTGCCAAAACTTTCAAACCTATGGTGAATGTAAATTTGGATTGAATTGTTTCTTTGGTGAATGTCATATCGTTGATAATAAAACAATTGTAAACAAAGAATTACTTGGTAAAGTTGAACCAACAAAAATAATAAATGAAGTTTCAAATGAAACTCAAATCCAATTAAAAACAAACAACTATCCATTCCCAAAGAGTGAAATTTATTTCAAAGAAAATAATATAACTGCAAGACAATTTAAAGGCAGAAATAACAATAAACAACAACAACAACAACAAAAAAATGATAATAAAAGAAAAGAAAATGAAAAAGATCAAGATGAACAATTAAATAAAAAAATTAAATTGGATAATGAGAATATTTCAACTACAACTGAATCAACTGAATCAATTAAAACTACAGAAACTACAGAAACTACAGAAACTACAGAAACTATAGAAACTACCACAAATACAACAACAACAAACAACACTAAAAATATAAAAGAAGAAGCAAAACAAAGTAATGAACATACAGAGATTGATATAATGACACCATTAAAAGCAAATGAAAAGAAAAGAATTAATTTTGAGAATCAATTGATTTTAGCACCATTAACAACAGTTGGTAATTTACCTTTTAGAAGAATTTGTAAGAGATTAGGAGCAGATATAACTATTGGTGAGATGGCATTAACAACCAAACTATTGGAGGGTACAAAATCAGAGTTGGCATTATTAAAGAGACATCCATCTGAGGATAAATTTGGTATTCAAATCTGTGGATCCTATATTGATTCAGCCGTTAGATGTGCAGAGTTTATTGAGAATGAAATCGATGCAGATTTCGTTGATATCAATTCAGGTTGTCCAATCGATTTAGTTTGTAATATGGGTGCAGGTGCAGCACTCATGGAGAGACCAAAGAAGGTTGAACAACTTCTTAGAGGTATTTCAAGTCATTTATCATGTCCAACCACCATTAAAATTAGAATTGGTAAATCGGAGAGTGCTCCAACTGCTCACAACTTAATTCCTTCACTTGGTGAATGGGGTGCTTGTGCTGTAACTTTACATGGCCGTAGTAGAGCACAAAGATATAGTCGTCTTGCTAATTGGGAATATATTAAACAATGCTCAGAGGTTTCTAAAATTCCATTGATTGGTAATGGTGATGTTTACAACTATCAAGATGTAGTGAACATCTATGATACCTCAAAGGTTTCCTCAATTATGATAGCTAGAGGTGCTCTCATTAAGCCTTGGATTTTTACAGAGATCAAAGAGAAGAGAGAATGGGATATTTCTGCCTCTGAAAGATTGGATTTCATTCGTGATTTTGCAAACTATGGTTTAGATCATTGGGGTTCCGATAGAATCGGTGTCGATAACACTAGAAAATTCCTTTTGAATTGGTTATCTTTCTCTCATCGTTATGTCCCTGTTGGTCTCTTAGAAAAAGTTCATTATATGAATGAAAGACCTCCAGCTTATTTCGGTCGTTCAGATTTGGAAACTTTATTAGCTTCAACCCAAGTTAAAGATTGGATTAAAATTACTGAAATGTTTTTAGGTCCTGTAACTTCTGATTATAGTTTTGTTCCAAAACATAATTCAAATTCTTATGAATCTCAAGGTTAAAAATAAAATAAAAATAATAAAAAGGTTTAAAAAAAATTAATAAATCTATTTTGAGTAATTTTTAAATTTTATTTTCAAACAAATACAATAAAAAAAAAAAAAAAAAAAAAGGATTTGGATTTTTCTTTTTTTTTTTTTTTTGATTTTTTAAATTTTTTTTTTTTTTTTTTATTGTATTTTTATAATTTTGCAAAAACAATTAATAAGTTAAAGAAATGAGTTCAGAAAAACCAACATCAACAACAGTCGAAAAATTGACTAAATATTATAGTTTACAAGTAGTTTCACAAGAAAGATTATATAATTTTTTACCAAAGATTAGTGTATTAGATTCGGATAAAGTTTGTTCTGATTTCATTCATTCATTAATTGATCAGATTTGTGGTAAAATCATTTCATTTGATAGATTTATAAATGATGAAAATCAAAGAATAGTGTATCAACTTATTAGGGTTTACACTTTATTTATAAATAAAGTAGTTGGTAAAGATTTAAAAAAAGAATATGTAAGCTTCAATCAACGATTAATCGTTTTTTTTTCTCAATTCATTTTTCTTCACATAACGAGCTAATTATTTTATTTTTATTCTTTTTTTTTTATTTTTTTTTATAATAATAATTAAAGATTTGTGAAGATTTAAAAACAGCAAATGTAGAAAATATATATATAACAACAGTTTCAGATTGTATCATCTCAAGATTCCAAGATATTAAAAAGGAATTAACAGAAAAATTATCAGCTATTAGTTCATCATCACTTTGCGATTTTGATTGGAAAATGAATGCAATCTTGTCAAGTGATAGAATTAATATCGTACAAGAAAATGTTTTATTATTAAATCTTACAATCGAAACAAATATAAATGATAAAAAAGAACAAGTTTTAATTGAATTATCAAAAAAAGAGTTAGATCATATTTTAGAAACTTTTGATCAAATTAATGAAGTAGGTTTTCTTTGTTTTTGCATTGATAATTTTAGCATTTCATTATTTAATGATAGATTAATTTTAATTATTATTATTATTATTATTATTATTATTATTATTATTATTATTATTATTATTATTATTATTATTATTATTATTATTATTATTATTATTATTATTATTATTATTATTATTATTATTATTATTATTATTATTATTATTATTATTATTATTATTATTATTATTATTATTATTATTATTATTATTATTATTATTATTATTATTATTATTATTATTATTATTATTATTATTATTATTATTATTATTATTATTATTATTATTATTATTAATAATTTTTATTTTTTATTTTTATTATTTTTATTTTTATTATTTTTGTTTTTATTATTTCTATTATTATACTAATAATTTTCATTTTATTACCAGGTAATTCAATCGTTGAAAGTTTAAATGAAAATAAAATATAATAAAAATAAAAAAGCTTAATTGTATAAAAAAAGTAAAAAACTTATATTTATGTATTATTTTGATATTTATTTTAAATTTACAATGATGGGACAAGATTTGTTACTTCTTGTAAAAACTTTTTAGATTCCACTTTACTGTTTGGTTTATAAAATGGATTACTTGTTGTATTTATAAATAATGTCTGTAATCTCTTAAAAAACTAATAATAAAATGAAGTTAGAAAGAATGAAATTCAATACAATTGTAGAAATAAAATTGATAAACATACTAATTTTAAATCAGAATCTTTAATATCTGATGTA